ATTTATTTGTATATCACTTCGTTTCGTAGTAAATAAAAGGTTTGAAAACAATTCACATCTTCTTGACATATGTTTGATTCTCAGTCAGATGTCTGTCATAACTATCTCCCAACGAATGTTTTCGATGCTTTATTTTTCACTTTTAAATATGATATGCATCGGAATGTAAGACTGATTGAGACCAATAAAAGTCGAGAAGTATTTCTTTTTATTAACTATTTTATTCGAGTTAAAATTATTTTCATCAATTTCAATCTATCACAAAATATTTTCGAACATATCGAAATATAATATCTCAACTTGGCCTTTCACCATAGTAAGATCAGATAGATCGTAGCATGAGTGAAAAGTTTTAGTCATAATCAATGTCGTTTTCTCAACAAATAAGAATTGCATGAATAAATTTTCTTATAGAATATTTAAACAATCGATGTTTTTTCAAGTTTCAATGTCTTTAGAAGGACATATCTGTTTTTGAGCGAAACTACAATATACATTAAGAATCAAATATTACTTCATGACAACACTGCCATACTAATACAATTATTTCGAGAAGTATCGTGAAAATCTTCTAAGCCTTTAAAAATGAGTATTTCACTAAAGTCTTTTTATAAATGCTAAGAAATAGAAATAATCTTTCTAAATATTCAATTCTTATGATCGAACGAAACGTTCTTTGATATTTTAGTCATATGAACTCTAAATATTATTCACCATCAAAGAAAACGTCTGTTTCGCTCGTTGTTAAAGTGTATCTTGAAATTATTATGGTTACATTTTACTAGTAACTCATAAGAAATATGGTATTTTATTATATGTACAACATCTAATTTCAGGCTATCAGTAAACAGAATATACACACTCACATCTTCAAGTTATGGACAAACATATTCATATATTATTCTCGAAAACTAAGTTTTGCCAACGTCATAATGCATACATACGCTTCAACAATAATACAATATCCAAAGCCATTTTACTTTCGTTATACCTTACATAAGAAAAATGATATTGATATACTTTTCTCATAACAATCGAGAGATTAACACTAATTGGTAAGTTATCTAACAATGACATAATATATAACTTCATGCAGCTTATTTTCACCAAGAATCTATTTTTATTTATTGAAATTTATCATATCAATGACAATATAACAAAATTTTACCGACTGTTTCAATTCCTCTAGGCATTGTTTACTATTTTGTCTTCTCTTAGCCAATTTTGATCTCATCATATGATAATCGTTATGAGCGAAAAATGAATACAAAAAAAAGAATATTCTCCTTAGAAGTGTCGATTCATTCGTTTATTGAACAGAAAGAGAACATACAAATTAGTGAATGCGTAATTGATTGGATTCAATTGATGTAAGTCGTTTAGTATTCATTAACATTAGTCAACACTTTTCATATTTTTCTCTTCTCTATCCAATCTTCATCTATAAATATAAGCAGAATCACATTCATCTCTTATACATTTATTGATTTTTTTCTGTTGTAATCAAATATAACACACACACTCACAAATCGGTAAGAGTGCATATATATAGTGAATACTTGAATATTCGATTGAGCAATTCATCTTTAGAAAATATTATATTTACATTTAATACATTTTTTAGAAAGTCATGCAATCAGCAATGTCTCTTTCTTCAATATCATCTACAACATCAACTAATTCATCAACATCCTATGCATCTCGAACTATTCTCGAACCAAAAGATTTATCTTCAGCTGCACCTCGATGTCGATCATCTATTATAGCTTTTCTTGACAATGATCAAAATGTTTTTCCACCATCACCACTGCCTCCTCCTCCTCCACCACGTCGTCGATCACAACTTCCATCAAATCATAAATCCATATCGAAATGTCGTCATCTCTTTCGTATTTGTCTTTCTTTACCTACTCAAACAAAACTTTCAAATTCATCTATTCGAAAACAATATTTTGCTAAATTATGTCATCATTATCGACTTCTTCTTGTTCTTAATGATTATGAATGTAAATGTGGTTGTCATTTTTCAATGCGACAAGGTACTTTTGTTATTTTATATGAAACAAAAAATGAACTATCAATATGGAATAAAAATAAACTTGTAACAGTTATATCAAATGAATTAGTATGTTCAAAAGTTCCATCTGAATATGTATGTGATGTTGAATTGTTACGTGAACGTGTTCGTACTAGAAATTTTTCTAGTGATGATGAACAAAGTTTTGATTTGTAATAATAAATTGTATTTGGCATTTTTTTAACAAAAAAAAATATTCATAGTCGAGAAAATATGTGTTGCTTTACATGGATTTGAAAAATATTTTAGATTTTATGCTAAATTTGCCTTAAAAAAATATCTTCAGATCGCGTGAAAGTCTTTCTTGATTAGAACTATAAACACTGATATTTCGAAATAAGATGTTGTCTTAGGCAAACTTTCTTAAAACGATAAACTAACAGTTCTTATAATACAGTGCTTTTGTTATTTTCATTGATCAATGGTATACAAGTTGTAAGAATTTAGATGCGGCAATATTGAACAATAAGATGATCTTTTGAATCTTCGTCACACTAATACTCTTAAGAAAAACTCACAAATACATTAATGACTAACATAGGAATTCGTTACATAGCTTATGAACAATGATGACAAAATAAAGAAACAGCGTGTAGCCGTCATGCATTCTTCAGTTGTGAGTTTCTCTCAACTAGATACATTATTGCTCAGTGTCATCTTTCTCATATCTTCCCTATTGACTATTCACTGTTGGACAACAAAAACAATTAATAATAATTACGTAACACCAAAAAAATAGAAAGAATTTATTTACATTGTGCCTGAATACCACGGAGGAATGATTAAACTATATATTGTTTTTTTTGCAAATATAGCAAATTTTTTATGCATAAAATATATATGAACCTATCTTTTGCGCTCGTCATATATGACGACAACTGAATATATTAATGCGCTTTTCTCATAACAATCGAGAGATTAACACTAATTGGTAAGTTGCCTAACAATCACATAATATACGACTTCATGCAGCTTATTTTCACCTACAATCTATTTTTATTTATTGAAATTTATCATATCAGTGACAATATAAGAAAATTTTACCGACTGTTTCAATTCCTCTAGGCATTGTTTACTATTTTGTCTTCTCTTAGTCAATTTTGATCTCATCATATGATAATCTTGATGAGCGAAAATTGAATACAAAAAAAAAAAGGAAAATATTCTTCTTAGAAGTGTCGATTCATTCGTTTATTGAACAGAAAGAGAACATACAAATTAATGAATGCGTAATTGATTGGATTCAATTGATGTCAGTCGTTTAGTATTCATTAAGATTAGCCACCACTTTCATATTTTTCTCTTCTCTATTCAATCTTCATCTATAAATATAAGCAGAATCACATTCATCTCTCATACATTTATTGATTTTTTTTTCTGTTGCAATCGAATAAAACACATACCCACACATCGGTAAGAATGCAGATATAGTGAATACTTGAATGATTGATTGGATAAATATTTCTTCTTTTCAAATTGAAATATCACACCGATTAAACGAGAGAGCATCTTTATACAATCACATGCAGTTCACAACTAACTCTATCGTGATAGTCAATGTTCACAATAATTGAGTTTATTTTTAATTTATTTAGATAGTCATGCAATCAGCAATGTCTCTTTCTTCAATATCATCTACAACATCAACTAATTCATCAACATTTTATCCATCTCGAACTATTCTTGAACCAAAAGATTTATCTTCAGCTGCACCTCGATGTCGATCGTCTATTATAGCTTTTCTTGACAATGATTCAACTGTTTTTCCACCATCGTCACCGCCTCCTCCTCCTCCACCACGTCGTCGATCACAACTTCCATCAAATAATAAATCGACATCGAAATGTCGTCATCTCTTTCGTACTTATCTTTCTTTACCTACTCAAACAAAACTTTCAAATTCATCTATTCGAAAACAATATTTTGCTAAATTATGTCATCATTATCGACTTCTTCTTGTTCTTAATGATTATCAATGTAAATGTGGTTGTCATTTTTCAATGCGACAAGGTACTTTTGTTATTTTATATGAAACAAAAAATGAACTATCAATATGGAATAAAAATAAACTTGTAACAGTTATATCAAATGAATTAGTATGTTCAAAAGTTCCATCTGAATATGTTTGTGATGTTGAATTGTTACGTGAACGTGTTCGTACAAGACATTTTTCAAGTGATGATGAACAAAGTTTTGATTTATAATAATAAATTGTACTTGGCATTTTTTTTAATAAGTATTGCATTGAACTCTAGTGTATTAGGAAACAAATTCTGTCCTTGTAGTCTGATAATGAATTCATTTTTAGAATGTATCAATTGCCAGTGGTACTACAACTACTAATCCGTTCTTTGCCTATTTCCCGGATGGGCAATGTAAGACAGAATGAGAATAAGAAGGATGATTATTTTTAGATACACTGATGATGATGATGTAATAATAACTAAGTGAGTGTAACACAAGAAATTCAAACAATGATGGTGAAGAAAATTATTTCACTCTTGCTTTTGTTCAATATTTGTCATCAATTTTTTACTTCACATTTCCTCTCCTTTTTTTTTTCTTTTTTTGCTTCTTGTCTTTCTTTTTATCTTATTGTTAATAATAACTATAATTACAAATATGTTGAACGACATATTTTCAAGGGCAATAGAGATGATGATAGAAATTTTTTATCGATATGTAAAAATTCATTGTTTGACTTTTTCCCTTTTCGATGTTCTCATGTGAATAATACATTCAGCACTAGTTCAATGACAAAGTCTTATATTAAGATAGTTCTACTGTCATCTTCATTCATAATTTGGATCGATGAACAGAAAAGGAAAAAAAAAAAAGCAAACAAGATAACAACAAACACTGTGCGACACACATGCATCAAAAAAAAGAAAATAAGATAAAATAGAAAAAGATAATTTGTTCATCATGTTACAATAAAAATGATAATCATATTATAAACTAATAATATCCATGAAGATATTAGTTTTCGACTTATAGATTTAGAATATCCAAGCACTAAGAAAAATATATAATAAGAAATTTTTTGAAAAAACTAAATTATTTTACCCGAAGAAGTAGAAATTATTTGAACATCTTTGCTTATTATACCATTATTATATATACATTGAAATAAACCTGAATCATTTAATGATAAATTATGTATATATAATATTAATGTAGCTTGATTATTATATGGATATTTATTAATAATATGTAATGTTTGATGTTGATTTATATGATATTTATTATGATACCATTTTATTTTTAATGGATCAATTATATTTGTTGATAATTCTCGTACTGTACATGATAAATTAATTGATCGTTGATAATTTTTTAATTCAATAATTCCATCATTTGGATAAATTTTCATTGAAGCTTTTAAATATAAAAGTTTAGATTTTTCAAGATTGAAAAAGACAAAAAAAAAAAAAAGTTTCTCTTACGAGTTACAGTTAAATTATAAATATTTGCTATTGAATGATGTTGATTTGATTTACACATATAAATTCCTTCATCGGATAAATTTAATTGATTTATAGTTAATATTGATAGATGTATTTGAGTTTGAATATTATAACCACTATAATCAACTATAAAACGTCGATTATTTTGTGTTAAACGACGTGCATTTGCATATAATGGTAACCATTTTATACCATTTGTTGTAGGAATTTTTGGACGATATACCCAAGTTATCTAAAGATTTTTTTTTTTTTTGTATTAAAATATATTTGAAATATAACGAAGAAAACGACATACAACGGCATTGAATGGTAATTGAGCAATTTCACATCGAAATGAGATAGCGGAATCAAGTTCTCCACTTATATACCGGACGTTTGACGAACTTGCAATACCTTGAAATATTCAATCAAATATATATTTAATAGAACAGACAAAAAAGAGAAAAATTTTTAATACATTTTCTTCTTTATAATATATATATATATATATTTCTTCTCCTGCTGTTCAATTTAATGATCAGTCATAGGGCGGGATCTATTATGATTTGATGTCTTGCTACTATCATATTAATAAAAGAAATTCTTTCATCTTGTCCAACTGTTCTTTCAATTGTAATGCTCAATATGGATTCCTTGATCAAGTAAAACAAAATGAGCAACCAATAAATAGAAATCAATTTCTATAGTGACCAAGGTACCGTACTGTTATCTTAACATTTTTTTTTTCTTCTTCGGATGCATACGGCCTTCGGCAAACAACAATGGAAAAGAAGATTTCTTCGTTCTTTCTCGCCACGTAAATATTGTTGTTGTACACACGGGGGATTAATTAGCTATGCGCCTACCTTGACTTAATGTGTAAAGCACGTGCAATCAAATAGAAGAATAAAACAGGACAAAAAAAAAGTGTCTTTAATTGAATGATTTTTGTTTATATTAGATATGTACACACACATATAGATATAGTTTTTTCTATCTTGAAAAGGTATGCATATTCAATGAACGATGAAAAACATATATATATATATATATATTTACCGGTAATGATAATGATAAGTAAAAAAAGTTTCATAGTCATGATAATAATAAATTGTCAAGTATGTTCATGGTGGCATATCAAAATATTTTGTGTAGAAAAGATATAGATATATTTTGTTATATGAATAAGTGTATGTCGAGACACGATGAGATGTGAAAAAAATAAAAGACTTTGATAAATTTGTTTCTTTTTTTGCTTCTTTAATTTTGTTCCTGTCGTTCACTGATTAATAAATTGTCATATGCCACGCTACGGTATAGTAAAAAAAAAGAAAATGAAGAAATATATGTCTATTTGCGTGTGTGTGTGTGTGTGTAAAGTCGTTCGTCTGTTGAACAATTGAAGAAACGAAGCAAGAGACGACGAGAGAATGAGGAGAAGAAGCAGAAGAGGAGAGAATGAGTGTGTATGCCTTATTCCCGAAAAAAATAACACTTACTCTTCCTTCTCTCCTAATCTTTCTTTCTCGCTTCTTGTACATATGAAGAAAGAAGGGAAAGCCATCTTACATGGTCATAACTAATTGAGAAAAGTGAATCAAATCCATATTCTTTAAATCTTATGACATAAGACGATTTTATTAGTTTTTATATACATATATATATATGCGTGTGTATATGATTATGTTTCCTTTTCTATATATATATGTACATACACTAATGATCTCAATGACAACCGATGTTGTTCATCAAGAAAAAAAACAGGCGGGACAATACAACTACTGTTGTTATTCATACATTCACTATATAAGTTCCGTCTAAGCTAATGAATAAATGAATTAATACCTGCATACATATGAACATTCACTTTCTATAAACAATATCTATCTTAGTTGCCTCTCATGTAAGTATGTATATATATATGTACTAGTTGAAAAATGGGACGAGACGCCTGGCGATAATCTATTTGAATGTATGTTCGACAAAATGTTATTCTTATACATGCTCATGCCAGATATGCTCAATTGAAAACTGGATAGAACGAATGAGTAACTAAATAAATGAATGAATGAATATGAATATGAGTAGTGCAAGTGTCAATGTGTCACTCATCACTATAGAATAGTAATACAAGGACAGTATTGGACTAATGGTTGAGCGCTTACTCTTCACACCAAAGAGAGTCCACTTAAGGCACCATACAGACATATACTATACAGAGACTTATACGAACGCGTGCGAGACAATATGATGCAATAACAACACACATATATATATATATCCAAAAGAAAATGAAAGTCTAATTGTTCTTTACCACCTGTTCTTTTCTAATCGAATATTTTGCTTGTTTATTCAACTCTATTGAGGACCTAACAACGCATCTGCATGAGATGTTATTATATATATATATATATGCTTGTATATGTGACTCTTTCTATCATAATTCAATGAATGATAGATATCATATTCAATAAAAAGCTAAAGAATTGTCTTTTATTCTATGCTATTAAATAATATCAATAACAGTCTACTAACTGTTATACTTTAGCTCTTTAAATATACATATGTGTATCTAATGTATGCAGGTGATGCAATGCGACAGCTGACCGCCACAAGTGCACAGTCATTTTTACCTCGAAGAAACAATCTTAAACACTTTTTTGTTTATGTATATATATATATATGTTATGCTATTGTCATATAGTCCTTGTCTTCAAGCAACTATTGTCTGAGATGAATTTACTTTTGTCTAAAAAAAAAAAGAAAAATTTAAAATCAATTAAAATATTTGATATAGATATATAATAGTTTTTAATAATATCTTGTCTAATGAATCGATTTGTTCGTTACCATGTATAATTGACTTGTTACTATTTATGACAAAGATTAATGAACAAAGTACGTGACATAAGAGGGAAGTGTCATCTCCGGTTTAGTATGAATGACAGACCGACACACAGACAGACAGACAAATCGAAGACAAAGAAAAGTTTAAAGTAATTTCAAGTTTTTTTTTTCCTTGACTAAACGTAGACAATCTAGTAACAATACTCATAAAAGAAATATAACACTTTTTTTTATTCTTGACGCTACAAGTGTTAACATATTTTATAATATAAATGATCATTTAGAATTATTCAACGAATGATTGAAAACTTATTCAAAATTTTAAGATTCTTTTGCTAATGAAAGTTTTTTTTTTTTTCTTAATTATTTAATTACTAATAAATTTAATTAATGCTTGATTTTTTTTTGTTTCTAAAAAAAAAAAAAAAAGGTCAAGACTAACCCTCTTTACAATTTAATTACAAAATTCTAAGAAAAAAAAAATTCAAGGTTAAGTAAAATTAATGCCGAGATAATTCTCAAACAAATTATAGTCCAATTTAATTCTTTACAAATACACATTCACGCTACATCATCAGACATTTTATTGAATTACTATCGGATTTCGTAGTCAAAAAAAAAACGAGAAAACTAATGCCAAAAAGTCACACAATGATTTATTATTTAAATGCATTCAATACTATTTCATCATAACTACTATCAATAATTTTTTTTTTGCATTATATTAATAGAAACAAAAAAAAAGAAAATCATTAATCAACAAATAGTAAAGAAATTTGATAATAATATGCAATGTCTAACAAAATCATTCAATAATGAGGAAATACTATGACATACAATCTAAATTTTTCGTCTAATTTCAATATTGAATAAAGTTTTAAAACTTTTTCGGATATCAATAAATTTATATTTTATTGTGTACTCAAAAAGTGAGTACACTCTAGAATCGGTCAGTGTGTCCGGCCGTCCGTTTACACGATAACTCTTCACAATTACGTTCGATTGAGCTGAAATTTTGTGCACAGAATTGTCTCATCAATATCTCGGTCGAGTTCGAAGATGAGAAGGATCCGTCAAGAAATGGCTGAGTTATCGAAAAAATTGTCATTATTGACCAGACCATCCCTGAGGGGGGGTACAGGGATATTTTCAAAAAAAAAATTTTTTTCCTCAGAATTATTCACAACATATATAAATCGACTCAGTTTTTAACGCTGATTCCGAATCTGATATTAGTTTTGAACCAAATTGTAGCTTTCTAATAAAACATCGCCTGAAAAAGGTCTCAAAATGCACAAAAACTGCATCCAGAAACCAAATTGCCTAGATATGTTTCAGATGATAAAAAACAAAGTGAATATATCTGTTCACTTTTTGAAGTACACATAACACTCAGATTTAAATCCGAGGTTTTCGCATTTATTATTCTATGATATTATTCATATATTCAACAAAAATGAACAATTAAACTATAAACAATTTTTTTTTTTCGTTTTTACATATAAACATTAAAAATAATATATTATTCATCCATATTTACATAAATCGGACATTTATATGGACCAAACATATATTTATATGCATTTTTTTGTAACCAATCATGAGCAATACAATCCAAAAGTGATATACGTTTTTTTGGATCTTTTTGTAAAAGCTAAATAAAAAAAATTTAAAACAATTGATTTTTATTTTTATTCTTACATTATCAATAAATTTTCTTGCAAGTTGAGAAAAATAATCAGGAAATATATAATTAATAGTTGCAATTTTTATTTTTGTTTCATCATCCGTTCCTTCAAATGGTGCATGACCAGATAAAAGTTCATATGCAAGTACACCAACACACCAATTATCAATTTGATATTGATATTGTTTATGACCAACAATTTCTGGTGCTAAATAATCTAATGTACCACAAGCTGTTGTATTCCTTAAAAACAAAAAAAAAACAATTATATTATTTTTTTTTTTTGGTCAAATATTTAATTTACATTGTATCAGCATGAC